CCCAAAGTGCTGGGATTACAGGCTGAGCCACCGCGCCCGGCCCAAGAGCTCCTTTTATACTTGCATCCCACACCCTACCTTCAGCTAACAGTAACGTTAATCTAGTATTTGCTTTGCCATTTGCAAAACACTTATTTGGTGAAATATACATAAAACTCACCATCTTAACCATTTTTAAGTGTGCAGTTCAGTAGCACTAAGTGCAATCCCATTGATGTACAACCATCACCAGCATCCACCTCCAAAACTCTTTTCATCTCAGGTAACTGACACTCCACACCCATGAAGCAGTGTCTCCCTATTCCCCTCTCCCCCTAGCACCTGGCAACCACCATTTTACTTTGTCTTTACGAATCTGACCACTCTGGATACTTTAATATAAATGGATTTGAAGTGTTTTTCCTACTTTTGCCGATTTTTGTTCTCTACATACATAGAATCACACATCTATGTTTTACCCTGTATCTAGTTTTTCCCTCAACATGTCTGTGGGATTTATCAGTTCATTTACAGAATTCTTCTTTATCTCTTCTCATTAAATAATACTCTCCTGTGTGAGTATGCCACGATTAATGTATTCTACTGATGATGAGCATTCGGGTAGTTTTCAATTTGGGGTTTTTACATGTAGTGCTGCTATATCTTTTGGTAAAATATGTGGCTAGAAAGGAAATTGCTAGAGCACAGGGTATGCATGTGTTCAGCTTTAGTAGATATTCCCATCACTTTTTATTAATACATTAATACATTCAAGTCACCAAAGAAAAATGATCTTTCATACACGACTTATACAATCTCTTTCATGAAGGACAGCAGTTACATATTTGCATTCACATGATGCTGTGGACTCTGCCCAGAAGAGTGAAGCTGCCCACTCACTCAACTTCTCCCACCTCAAACCCCACACTCCAGCTCTACTGAGCTTTCTCTGCTTAGCTGAACACCTTTCTCCTACTCTTTTCTCCGTAGGCCATAGTGGGTGCTGCTTAACTCAGCCTGTACCCTCTTTCTACATGGTTTGATGGCTGTTCGTCTCTCAGACCTCAGCCCCTTTAAGAAGTGGTACCAAAGCACAAAGCTGCCTCCTCGGAATGCATGACATCGTGAGCCCATTCTTTTTGGAATGTAAGTCTGAGGATGAGGCTCTGACATTCTCTTTTTACCCAGGTCTTGCCACTTACTACTTCTGCTTCTTTTGATCTTTTAGGAGTTGTCTGCACATGCAAATCAAACTTATTTTGAGCCTCCATTCTGGGTTCCCATTGACATAAACATGATCCTTAGAATATATACAAATCCACACCACTTAGATTGCCATCAGCAACCAGGACTACCCAGTAGCACTTTCCAAAGACTAAGTACAATCACAGATAGCACTGAACTCTGAGTTGGTCTTTCATGTTTGGCAAAAACAATGCTCTGCATCTACATGGTTTCATTACTGAACGGGAAGAGCAACATGGACTGATGCCTTAAAAGTAATTCCAGTTAACAGTTCCTTTCACACTAACAGTAACCTAGATCACCCAGAAATAATCAAAGTAGAAACTGCCATGGCTTAAAGGAAATAAAAACGAGGGAATTCATTCAGATCTTTTTCTCCATAAATGTGAAGTTATATCATGTTCATGGGTGGGAAGATACAGACATTCAGACATTTCCCATTAGAAATGGGAATATATAGTATATAGTACACATTCTCTCAGCACCCTAAGTATACCTTAAAACATAGGAATTAAGTTAATATGGACATGAAAATGAACAAAAATTAATGAATTGGAATAGAATGCCAGAAAAGACTTACTAGACTTAAAGAAATTTAACTTGTGATTTTAAAAAATAATGTCCAAATCAAGGTGGGGGAAGTTCAAATAGTCAATAAAAGGTTAGAACAGTTGGCTACTTTTTAAAAAAAAAGACCTGTGTCAGATAAGAATGTATTTGACTGCAGGTAACCAAAAAAAAAAAGAGTAAAAAACCAAGCTAACAGTGGCCTAATTAAATAGAGATACAATTTCTCATAAACTAGGAGACTCCACTAGTACCACCCACCTAATCAATGATACTGTAAGGCGAGTGTGGCAGTCTCTGGCCCACAGGCCAATCGTTGCAATTTTGCACAACTCAAAAATGAAGAATTATCTTTAAGTGGTTGAAAAAGAATATTTTGTGACAAGTCAAAGTTACATTAAGTTTAAATGTTAGGGCCCATGAATAACATTTTATTGGCATGCAAAGATGCTTGTTTGTTTACATTTCCTCAGTGGCCATTTCTATGCTTCAATGCCAGAGTTGAGCATAGTTAGACAGAGGTTGTATGGCCTACAAAGCCCAAGGTATTTACTATCTGGCCCTCTGCAGAAAAATCTTACCAATCCCTGCCCTAAGGAACCCGCACTCCTTCCAGCTTTGTCATCTTTGTTATACATCGCCCCCAAGTAATGGAGTGCTTTATTTCTGCAAACTAGGCCCTCAACTCCAAAGCAGATGACTCCCTGGAAAACCTGTAGACTCTCACACCTGGCTGCCTGGAGATTGGCACTGCCAGGCCTAGACACAAGGCCTGGGAGCCCCCAGCTTGCCCCACCCAGAAGCATTAATGTATAAATAAGACCACAAACACAAGAACTACAAGAGGCAGAGTGTGTATGATCTTCTTATGGAGAGACCAAATAGGAGCCAATAAAGTCAGAGACTGGCTTATCCATCTAATACCCCCATGCAGAAAAGAAATATATTTGCCACATTTTGTTATATTAAGAGTTTCTATAAGACAAAAAAAAGCCGGATAAACTCAAAGAATTCAACTGGCTAATTAGATATATTCAAGTTTTCATTTTTAAGGATGTAACTTAACAATAAAATGTTTCCCTTACCAAAAGGACTTGCCCTGTGTGGGGAAAATGATCTCACAGTTGAGAGAAATGTTAAACTGGCATAGTTTTTTGGGAGATCAAATTGCACCTCTGACATTTGCTTAGCAATTCTACTTGCATATAAGAATCTGGATTCAGGCCAGGAGCAGTGGCTCATGCCTGTGATCCCAGCACTTTGGGAGACTGAGGTGGGCAGATCATGAGGTCACGATATCAAGACCATCCTGGCCAACATGGTAAAACCCCATCTCTACTAAAAATACAAAAATTAGCTGGGCATAGGGGCACACACCTGTAGTCTCAGCTACTTGGGAGGCTGAGGCAAGAGAATCACTTGAACCCGGAGGCAGAGATTGCAGTGAGCCGAGATCACACCACCGCACTCCAGCCTGGTGACAGAGTGAGACTCAGTCTCAAAAAAAAAAAAAAAATCTATATTCAAAGATGATCACAGCACTGTAATAATGGGTGACTTTAAAATGCCCTTTTTGAATGTCCACCAATAAGGGAATCAGTTAAACGGGTATTGAACTATTTAAATACAATAAACAAGCTAATGTCCATGAAAAAAAAAATTAGGATTTTGAAATGTCTCCATAACACCTTGTTAAAGAGCTATAGGACTGTTTTAAAGCTATGTTCTTATACAAAGAAAGCCGTCTGGCAGGGCACATGTCACACCTGATAGTCACTACCTTCGTATAGGATTGGGGCTAGAAAGTCAGTTTCTCATATTGCACACTTTGCTATTAAACTCAAAAGCACAAACTACTTCCATAAATTTGCCAGAACTTCAGTCGCAGGGGTATAAAGAAAGGAATCTAAAAAGACAGAAGTTAGTTCATCCTTATTTCATGAAATCCACCATACAGCTGAGACCGAACTTGGGAAAGTCTGGAGCCAGGGGTGGCTCTCTGCCTCCTCTATGCTCAGCCCTCACCCTGACCACCATTCTACAGGGATACGCTGCAAGACGCAGGCTAACGTGAACTACAAACACCCACCGAGAAAGTAAAATTTTAAAAGTTCTCAATTTAACTAATATGACCCTCCTCCTATTAGGACAGATAACATGTTACTGAAGTTCTGAGTGTCATCTAACTTTTGTTTCTCTTCTGCCTCAAAAAATCTAATGCGTAGTTTTTGTATTAATATCTACATTGGAGTACTTCCTTATATCTTATTCTGAACCTGAGTTTTAGAACTTAAAGCCAGGAGTCACTGAGTGAATGCTGTAATGAACAAACATTTGTATCCAAGTACACTGTGCTGCTTCTTTCCCGCAATCCTTGACAATAGGATTTGAAACCCAACATCTAGCTACTCATTCTGATTCAGAGGTTCAAGGGCATTACGCAATAGATATCCAACAAAAGATTCCCACAATAGTACTAGAGTTTTATTAAGGATAGTAGAAAAGTACTATCATGAAGTTCCTTAAATGACAGTGAGACAAACCTTCCATGAGGCCAGAGGTCCCCTCTGCCTAGATCAGTTGAGTGACATCCTCCACTCCCAGGTTCCCATCTGACACTAAGTTGTGAAGGCCTTGGTGCCCTTTACCCATGACTAGTCCTTGACAGAATGCTTCCTTGGATAGAGCCCTCACTCTAAAGAGGCCAGGAGTGCTAGGTGGGGAGGAATTTACATGCTGAAGCCAGTTCTGGACCAGCCCCAGGACTACGGTACAGAGAGAAACAATAACAGCTGAATAGCTCAGAAGAGTCCAAAGCCAGCTTAACACCAGTAACAATTTTACCCCTACCCCAAGAGCTGATACGCATCCAATTCCAGTTCCTCTTTCTCCACCTACATGACCCCAGAGGCGGCACTAAGCCTGGCCCACTCATAATCTAGGACAGCGATAGTCAGACATCTCAAAGGGCCCAGCTTCCCAGGGGTAGGAGTGACTGAGAACAGCACTAGGAGTCCTCTGCCCACATCAAAGAGAAGCATCTAAGAGGGGTTACTGCCATAATGCCATCCTTCTTGCTGTGCTTTGAGAAACAAGCCAAATCCCACCTCCCTTTAAAGAGCTCTAGTCACTATGAAAACCAATCCCAGCCCCAACTAGAGTCCTGAGACTTAGGTGGTCCTGAGGCCAGTAGGAGGCTTTGGGGTATCTCAAGAGCAGCCATACTTCTCCACCAAGGAAGAGTTCACGTGGTGCCCACTCATCTTGTGTTTGTTATCCTGGACCATCAAAGAGAAGAGTCAGACCCTGGTGGGATGGCAGATCTGGAAGAGCCGGGGACAGGTAGGTACTCCCCTCTGCAGAAACAAAGGAGAGAGTAGTGAATGCCTTATAGCCACAGCCTCATACTTAAGGGCATTGGGAGACTTGGTAGGGGTATATGGGAAGGAAGGAGGAGGGCCTGGAGAGAAGCTGCTGGATCAGGGCTGCTTCAGAACAATCTTTAGGAAGCCGGTGTTGTTTCTTATGAACAAAGATGAAGGATAAGGTCACAGTGGGGGGAAGATGCTACACACTGCATCAGTGCTAGATTACATTAGTGCCAACTTCAGTGGCTTCCTTGACATAAAAGGAGCCAGGTCTAGAGAGTTGAGCACTTAAACCTATCCCAATATGACCCCAGAAGAGAAAGAACAAGGCTCCATGTCTTACCTTATAGCACTCAAAGTTGGATTGATGGAGCTCACTGCTGAGGGCCAGGCAGATCCCCTGACAGTAAGGGAAGCTGAGTCTTGGATGCAACAATACACTCGCCCCAGGCAGCTCTGTGAAGTTTCACCTTGCGATCCTGCAGATGGCAGAGATTCTCTGCTGGAAACATATTCTGGCCATGGCCTATCTCCCAGTGGTTCTGGCCCGGGATCCCCAGGATCTGCCATTCCATGTTAGGGAGAAAGAGCTTTTGGACATAAGGCAGGTGAAACAGGGATGGCTGTGTGTGGGACAAGGTCATGAACAGCAACACTACATCTTATTTGCCTTCAAACTCTAGAACAAGCTCAGTGGCATGGGGGACAATGGGCATGCAAGCCCATAACTTTATCAAGGAAACCCCTAAGAAGGGAACTGCCTCAAAACCGAGAAGCCAGTAGCTGTTTAGGAACTGGGAGCCTATAGGGAAAGAAGTGGGGAAGCTCCAGGAGGCCGCTATCATGGAAAGTCCCATGTCCCTTTCAACTTCTTACGCCCCACTACTCAGCCTTACAGGATAGGACAAAGACTTAGCAGTCTCAGCTTGTCAAAGCCAGTGCGTAGTCATAGCAGCCAGGAATGGGCTGAAATTCCTCTACTCCCATCACCCTACCCCTGGAATTAGGTTAGAATGACTGCCCTAGTCCTGAAAATCACCCCAGTCACCATAACCATAAGACAAGCCACTTGCCCTGTTGTATCTCCTAAAACACTGTAGCTGCCCAGCCTACCAGCTTTGTGGCATCAGCCATAAAGCTTAAAGACATCCAACCTACCAGGCCTGCAGAGCTGAAACCAGGAAGCAGATTCCTTTTCTGCTAGACCAGCTGAGGAGTACTCTGTCCCCAACTCCTTGCTCTACTCACAAGAGCCCTAAATATCTGTTGCCATTTATACCACATTCCCCCAACCAGCCCCACAAAATGCACCAGGCAGCTCCTGGATCTCTCCTTCCCTGGCAAAAACCAGGGTTCTAGCTACTTACTTTTGGATGTGAGGGTAAAACCATGTTGCCTGGCAGAAAAGATCTCATTTATGTGGGAAGGCAGCATCTAGTTGGAACAGTCAAATGTCTCTACCAAGCTCAAACACGTGCACCAAAGACCCACAACCAAGAGCCCAGGAATGAGCCAGGACTTGCCACTTCCCCCACTGCCACCCTCCATCATACCTGCTCTCAGAAGCTGGGCTGCCTTATTGCGGTCTTTAAATATCCATCTGCCCAGGTGTAGGCCCTATTCTAACCCCCACAGCTTGGGCCTGATCAAGCATTCAAGAGAAATCGAATTCGGGTGAGAGAAACTCCCACTCCCAGAACAACTTCAATACCTACCCCTGCTTACAGAGTGGGGGTGCAGCAAGTGATAATATAGATTGTGTTTCTCAAACTCAACCTCGAAAACACAAGTACGTAATTGGTGAATAGATGACTTATGTGGCAGACGTGCTCTGACAGACTGTGTCGGTCCAAATACTGGAAACGAAGATAGGTATGGGTAGTTTTCAAGTTACAAACACTCCATTTAACTCACCTTTGTGTTCTTAGACTTCAGCTACCATCAGAATCACCTAGAGCATTTGTTAAGACAGATTTGTAGGCCCCATTCCCAGAGTTTCTGATTCAGTAGGTCTTGAATGTGGTCCAAGAATTTACTGTACCTCTCTAGCAAGTTACCAGGTGATGCTGATAATGCTGGTCCTGAGACCACACTTTGAAAATCACTGGTCCGCTTATTTATACCGTAACTAGTACATAGAAGACGCCCAATAAGTGTATTTTGATTCATTGATAATAGACTATACCTAGTGTGTTTGTGGCTCTGAAATTTTTTTTAAACAAAACCAATAAAACAAATAAACTCCTTCAGGTTAAAAGGATGAAATTCACTAAATCTGAAAATACCAGATTCTTCTGTGGGAAGTACCCAAATAAGAAAAGTAATATTTGGGATTCATGCTCCCAACATTCTTTCGTTTTCTTTTCAGAGAGTACAAAAAAGTAATGGACATAAGAAGCCAATACAGTCCTCTTCATGTTTCCTAACACTTAAATTTATTATTATGACCATGTTATATATAAATATAGTGTAGGAATAATCTGTCCATTAAACATAGAGTTAGGCATCCTTCACTATTAACCTGCATTTCATAATATTTGCTTTTCTTAAAGTATGAAATTACATTGACATATACAATAAGAGTTTAGTTTCTCTAAACTTGAGGTTTAGTTATTTTCATTAAATAATTCAATGTCCCCAGCCAGGCTCGGTGGCTCACCTCTATAATCCCAGCACCCTTTGGGAAGCTGAGGTGGGCGGATCACAAGGTCAAAAGATGGAGACCGTCCTGGCCAACATGATGAAATCCCATCTCTACTAAAAAATACAAAAATTAGCTGGGCGTGGTGGCTTGTGCCTGTAGTCCCAGCTCCTCGGGAGGCTGAGGCAGGAGAATCGCTTGAACCCGGGAGGCGGAGATTGCAGTGAGCCATGATCGCGCCACTACACTCCAGCCTGGCAACAGAGCAAGACTCCATCTCAAAAAAAAAAAAAAAAAAAATTCAATGTCCCTAATTACATAAATAGGTATACCATAAGTAATGGTAATCAGTGCAGTCCATCTTTAGAAAGCTTGCTGTATAAATTCATTAGGTAATGTTAATGAAATAAGCTTATGAGGTAGGAGTGACTATCCTTGTTTTGTGGATGGGGAAACTGAGGAAGAAGTAGGTAATGCCTGCCTACAGCAGGGCTGAGTCAGCTCTCCATGTGGAGTAGATTCTATGTTAAGACAATTCCTTTGGATTTTTGTTCCTTAAAAATGAAGAAATACAAAACAAAAGCAAATGAGAAAATAATTCCTATTTTAAAAAACAAGCTTTGGTAAAAGGAAAAGGAATAGGTTTTAAGTTGAGAACAGAATTTTGAAAGCTAATGACTTGTAAGCCTAAGGTTCCCACTAATTATCCCTACCTCTTCTGTGTTATTTTTCTAATCAACGAGAGGTTGATGATAACTCTGTCTTTTGAGCTTATATTCTTTGCTCTTTAATGAGCAGGTTCTTATGGAACCCCAATTAAATATGTGGTGAGCTTATGGAATTTCTAGCAAATGTGGCTTTCCTTTTTGTTTAGATAAATTAATCTTCAAATTCTCAGCAAGAGGAAAGGGGGCAGCTCCCATCTAATCCCCAGGCCTTCCCTAAATGGCTTCAAGAATGTATTAAGTAAAATCCTTCATAAATGTGTAAATTGCTTTAAATAAAACCCTTCAATAATAATCTTGGATGCGAAGCCTGTTTTACTAATTTATAGCTAAGCAGCTGTTGTTTTGTTGGTATCTTCAGCTTCATTTACACAAGAAAATCTGAAAATGAATCATGCAGACAGAAGAGACCAGGTTGCACTCTATGGTAAAAGTTTTTGTATGTTTGTCTCATAGGACTTTGAAAAGTAAACACCAAAAAAGACCATTCATCAACCATCACACTGGAGAAAGTGTTGGCCAATGATATGTTCAGCTTATATTTCAACGAATTTTGTATTTCATGTGTCACTGCCAAGCTACAGCTGAGTGTGTATGATGAAAATACATGCTAGCAAAATACAAGCCAACTTCTCTCAGGCCCTGAAAAACCTATCAAGTCCCTCATTGGGCTGGAAGGAAGCACTGACTACTCAAGTCATCGACTCTAGCATACCTGTATTGTCACCATTCAGTTCTGTCCATTTAGCTGTGGTAAGAATCAGAAGCAGATAAAAAGTACCTAGTTGATAATATGCTCAGTGTCTTTTCCAACTTGTGATAATATACCTAAAGGTGCTTTATAAACTACAAATTGCAAGTCCTTTCTGTGGGTAGGGTATCATATATTTATGTAATGCAATCATCTTTAAGTTTTTGGTTGAGTGTCCTAACAGTAAAAAATAAAAATTAAAAAAATTAACATTTACCCTAATGTCTACATATGGGTTTATTCATTAATAAACTATACGTGTATAGTTTATTCATTATTATTAATTAATAAACTATACATGTATAGCTTATTAATGAATAAGCATCTATATTACTATATATGTTACTCACATACATATATATTAATATATATGTTTATTAATGAGATGAACATATATATACATATAAGATACACAAAAACGGAGATTGAAAAAGGATTTGAAAATGAAATAGGAATTCATTTTCTAGTATTTCCACTATTTTCTTCCTGCTCCCAGTGGATCATCTTAGGAGACCACTGCTTTAACGGAATTAGTTCATTTTGAAAAGTAGGGGTGATCATTATAATTAACATTTATATAGTGTATGTAAATACTGCTAAATATTACTAATTCCAGTGCTTTACATATATTAACTTGCTTGATCTTGGTATCAGCCTTAAACAACAGGTATAATTATCATCTCCACTTAACAGATGATGAAATTGAGGTACAGACTGATCACCTAACTTGTTCATGGCAAGTATCAGGGATAGGATTTAAACCTAGGCAGCCTAGAGCTAGACTCTAGCTCATCTAAAATCTGAATGCCTGGCAAGGTATGACCATTCTAACCAGGAAGTAATCAAGTAAGACAAGTATTCAAAGCAACAATTACAATATGGTAAGATACATGTCATTATGCAGGTGTTATGGAAGCTAATGCTTCTTTAGAACAAGGACTGAAGTAGTTTTGTATTTACATAGCAGTATTGAGCCCAGTGCCTGGTACCTAAAAAGTACATGGTAGGCACTTGTTGGATGGATAGTTGGATAAAAGAAAAAATGATTTTTAAAAATGGATGGACGAATGGATAGATTTATCCCAACTTACTGGATAGCCACTGGAATTTGAATGTCCTTTAAATAGGGATGAAAAGCTCTCCTGCCAATAAAAATATTCACAGACTTTCTTCTTAATGAGATAATGCTCTATTGCTAAACCAACATATAGAAAAAAAATTATCTGCTGATGTTATCCAAGGCTTTTCAAGGAGGAAATACTATCCCATTCATGAGCATTTAAAACCCTGGAGAAAACGAAAAAGGTGAAAAAGAAAGGAATGTTGTTTATGGAAATAATATGTCTCGTCAGGAATTCATGTTTTCTCTCATAAAAAGAATAAAACAAAAAGAGAATCTGCCTTATGATCTGGTGTCAACAGGAAACCTAGTTCATTACAAATGTAGCCTGGATATTT